CAACCTAGGTGCCAGCCAGGCACTTTCCTCGAGGGAGACTGGGAGGACGCAGAGACAAGGAAGTGTCCCTGGGTCTGGCTTGGTCTTTGCCCGGCCGTTGCCAACAGGGTTGGGTTTTGCCTCATTTCTTGCAGGTGCAGCCAGTGCAAAACCGTCTTCCACCGGGACTGCCAGGCCAGTGCGAAGTCCTGCCCGCGCTGCGAGCGCCAGCAACGGTACCAGCGAAAACTGGCGGCAGACGGCAGTGGGGAACCAGGGCTATAGCAACCCGGGCGCCACGTTTTGCCTCTCTGCAAGCTGGAAGAGCGCGAGGATGGCGGGGCTGGCGTGGCGCGGGGTGTAGCAGATTCCTGTCGCCCAAGCCGCCTCCCACGGGGCCATTCCGCAAGGCTGGGAGGACGGGAGCGCTCGCTGCAGGGCGATGCTGGAGCTGCGGGTGCCCCTGCTGCACCGAGAGGGACGTCCCCGCTCCTGGGGCTGAGCAAGGAGGGCCAGAAAAGTCCCAACAGGAGGGGGAAGGCCAGCACCTCGCAAAGCGACGTTCCCCTCACTCACAGAAACCCGGTGCTGCTCCAGGCTGGTCCCCCTCCTGCCTGGTGACAACCTCCCTTCTCTGGGGCCTCCTCTCAAAGGCGCTTGGCCTCACAGTGGAAACGCAGCACGTTCTGAGGTGTAAATACGCCAGGTATCAAATCAAGGGTGTCGGATAACTTATGTTGATTAAAGCTCTAGTTTTTTAGGCTATTCGGTACTGGAGGGGAGAAAAAAAAGTATTTTTTTACATGGGATTTTGCACAAAATTCGCTTGGGGGAAGCCAGCAGCGACCATATATGGATCCAGCAGCACGGGGTTGGGAAAGGGGCACCACGGTGGAACTTGTGCCTTTAGCAACGTGGACACTGCTTTGAACCGTGACCTCCGGGCCCCTGCGCCGAGGTGACCCCTGCGCTAGGGAGGCCGCGGCGGGGCCTGGAGAGTCTCATCTGCCACCCACCGGCTCTTTCACTTGGAGAATCTGCCGGGACCCTGTGAGATTCATGAAGAGAGGGAAGAACCCAGCTGCTCTGCCCCTGCCTGGCTGCTGATTTTAACTCTTGGCCACTTGTGAGGCCATAAACAAATTTTATTTTCCTTTCACCCTGGTTACAAAAATGATTAAAGTTTATTTAACAGCGAGCACAGCTGTCCCCTGCGTTTGCTTCTCTGCAGCAGGTGCTGCTGACTTAGATCCGAGGCCAAGCCTCAAGTCTCAGCAGAAAGGACAGAGGGATGAGCCTCCCCAGCCTCCGTATGGGGGACACCTCCATGCCTGGGACAGCCTCCATGGGGTCAGTGCTGCTGGAGGACAGGGTTGGTGTCACCTGGCCCTGGCAGTGCAGGAAGCAGCTGGGAGCTCCATGGCTTCTGCCCGAGGGCACCAAGGCCAAGTCTGGTGGCTGGTGCCTCGGAATCCGGGTGCTGCCTCCAGGCCAGGCCCTTCCAGCAGCAGGAGCCTCTGTGAGGATGCGTTTCCTCCCGCTGTGGCCCCAAAGAGAAAGCCCCGGGATGGAGGGGGACGTTGGCGCAGGACGTGTCCCAGGCGAACATGACGCTCCCCATCGCCCATCCCGCTGCCGGCGCTGCCGGGAGCCTCTGTGAGGATGCGTTTCCTCCCGCTGTGGCCCCAAAGAGAAAGCCCCGGGATGGAGGGGGACGTTGGCGCAGGACGTGTCCCAGGCGAACATGACGCTCCCCATCGCCCATCCCGCTGCCGGCGCTTCCCTTCGCGTCCCCCACCCT